AGCATTTTCCACAGCAGCTGCACCATTTTACAATCCCATCAGCAGCGTAGGAGAGTTCCAATTTCTGCATATCCTCATCAACACTTGTTATTTTTCATTTTTTTATTATAGCCATCCTACTGGGTCTAAGTGGTAACTCATTGTGGTTTTGATATGCATGTACTTAGTGACTAATGATATTGAGCATCTTTTCATGTGCTTGTTAGTCATTTGTATATCTTGTTTGGAAAAGTGTCTATTTATACCCTTTGCCCATTTTTTAATTGGGTTCTCTCTTTATTGTTGAGTTGTAAGAATTCTTTATGTATTCTAGATGGCAAGTCTCTTATCAGATATATGATTTGCAAATATTTTCTCCTATTTTGTGGGTTGTCTTTTCACTTTCTTCATAGTATCCTTTGAAGCACAAAAGTTTAAAATTTTTCTGTAGTCTAGTTTGTCTTTTTTTCTTTTGTCATTTGTGCTTTTGATATCATATCTAAGAAACCATTGCCTAATCCAAGATCATAGAAATTTACTCCTATGTTTTCTTCTAAGGCATGGCCTCATTTTATCACTACTTGCAAACAGGATCTAGTTGGGCCAGACCTTGTTGACAGATAGGTCTCCAAGATAGAACCTTGGCCTGTCTGTCTTAACATGTGAGCTGGGGTTGGAACATATCCTTTTATCTACTACTGGCCTTATAGTCTTTGAGACAGTTTAAGGAGCAGAACCCCCTGTACATTATTCTAGTTTTTTTTTCCTGACAACTTTTTCTCTGGTGTGTTTTCCATTTTTATAGCTACATTAAATTTGCCAAGGCTCATTTCTTTTTTCTTTTTCTTTATTGTACTTTAGATGAAGGTTTACAGAACAAACTAGCTTCTCATTAAACAACAGTTAGTGTACATATTGTTTTATGACATTGGTTAACAACCCCATGACATGTAAACACTCTCCCTTCTCGACCTTGGGTTCCCTATTACCAGCTTTTCTTTACCCTCCTGCCTTCCAGGCCTTGCCCCTGGGCTGGTGTGCCCCTTTCGCTTGTTTTGTTTTATGGGCCTGTCTAATCTTTGGCTAAAGGGTAAACCTCAGGAGTGACTTCATTACTGAGCTAAAAGGGTGTCCGGGGGCCATACTCTTGGGGTTTCTCCAGTGTCTGTCAGGCCAGTAAGTCTGGTCTTTTTTTGTGAGTTAGAATTTTGTTATACATTTTTCTCCAGCTCTGTCTGGAACCCTGTATTGTGATCCCTGTCATAGCAGTCAGTGGTGGTAGCCAGGCACCATCTAGTTGTACTGGACTCAGTCTGGTGGAGGCCATGGTAGTTGTGTTCCATTAGTCCCTTGTGTCTTTAGTTTTCTTCATTCTCCCTTGCTCCAAAAGGGGTGAGACCAGTGGAGTATCTTAGATGGCTGCTCACAGGCTTTTAAGACTCCAGATGCTACTTATCAAAGTAGAATGTAGAACATTTTCTTTATAAACTATGTTAGGCCAATTGAGCTAGATGTTCCCCGAGACCATGGTGCCCACAGGAAGGCTGATTTCTTAACCACTGTCACACACTGTGTGCTGATGGTTTCTAAGTAGGTTCTCTCTAGACCTGTTTGATTGAGCATAGCCCCTTGTACTTGGATTTCCGTCTAGTATTTCAGACCTAGCATGACTGAAATTAAATTCATCATCCTCCAAAACCTTCTGCCCTGTTTCTGCCACTGGTATCACCTGCTTTGAAATCTACTCTCATTTTTCCTTTTGTCCATATCATTGGTTTCCAAATCGATCTTTGAAGATTGCCATGCACTTAATCTCATCTTGGCTGTATGTAATGGGCTTCCATCCAAAATTTTGCTTGAAAATGTTCTGCAGCCAAAAGTAATTTTTAAAACTCTTGCTTTGTGTCCAATCAATAAACATACCCAGGTGTTTCTTCTTTACAAATGTCAATTACATGGTTTTTAAAAAATATATCTTAAAAATATTTTAACAGAAAAATGCACAAATCCTAAAAGCACAGTTTGACAAATTTTTTATAAAGTCAGCACAGTTGTGAAACCACCATTCCAGTTGAGAAAGAGAATTGTACCAACATTCTGTCCATCCAGAAATGCTTCTTCTCAATCAGTACCCCTCCCTCCTTCCCAAAAGTAACTACTATCCTGACTTCTAACTCCAAATGCCTTTTCTGCATAATGCTCTTTATGCATAATACACACTTCTATTAGTTAATGTAGTTGTTTAATTATTTTTAATGTAATAAGTACCTATAAACGCACCACCCAATACAAAAATTAGGACCTTGACAATAACCTGGATCTAATAAATGGTCTCCTACCCATTGTTTCCCCTTGCTTCTTGGCCCGCCAAAAGTAACCAGTACCCCAATTTCCATGTTCATAATTTCCATGTTTTTGTAGTTTTGTTGCATCTATATGTACTCCTAAAAAGTATGCATCAATATATGTATAGATGTACACATAAATATATATTTTTTATTTTAAGATGTATTTTACTTTATGTAATAGTATCATGCTGTATGTAATATTTTAGAACTTACTTTTCCTCTTAAATATATATTCCTGAGATTCAGCTATATGGTGTCACTCTGGTAAGTGAACACACTTGGACAGCCACCATCTAGAACATCATAGCACCTGCAAGTCCTCATTGGGCCCCCTGCCAGTCACTGCTGCTTTCCTCATGCCCAGATACCCAGAAGTATCTACCATATTGACTTTAACACTATAGCTTTGTTTTGCCTGCTTTTCAACTTTTAATAAATGGGAGTGTCATAGTATTTATTCTTTTGTGTCTGGCTTCTTTTGTTCAGTATGTTAGATTCTTGTTGTTGCATGTAGGAGTGGTTAATTCTTTTTCGTGCTGATTAGGATTCCATTTCGTGATTATACCACGATTTATTTACTTTGTATTAATGGTATATGGGTTGTTTCTAGTTTAGGGCCATAACCAATAATGCTTCTGTTATTGTGTGTGTGTGTGTGTATACTGTGTGTTTGTGTATATATACATATACACATTTACATATACACATATACATACACATATTTATACATTTTCCTCTTGAGTATATACTTAAGAAATTCCATTTGATTTTTTTTAATTGAAACTTTTGTTGAGAGAATTGTAGATTTATGTGCATTTGTAAGAAATAATACAGAGGTCCGTTACACCGTTTGTCCAGTTTCCCCTAGTGGTAACATTTTGCAAAACTGTAGCACAGTATCACAACCAAGATTTGACATTGATACAATATTCAGAATTTATTCAAATTTCCTCAGTTTTACTTCCATTTGATTTTAAATAACAATATCTGAAGATTATAGAGTTCTAAAACAGAAGCCAAGGATTCCCTGGAATCTTTTTTCTTGTTCTCAACCATCTGTATTATGACCATATTTTGGAGTGAGGGTTTCTAACTTAGGGTTTTTTTGACCACTTTGATCCTCCTTACACCAGTGAAAAAAGCAGATTATAAAACAGTACATATTATATGAATTAACTTTTGTAAAAGCACAGGATATTTTATTTATCACTGTCTAGTACATAAAATACTGAATACTCAATAAAATTGTCAAGTAATGATTGAGTGAATGCAAAAGGAAAACAATGGAATTTTATGCACCAAAATGTTAACTGTACATTTTCTATTATAAGATTGTAGTTGATTCTTTATTGTTGTTTTTTTTCCCTCCAGATTTACCACAGTGACAATATGATATGTGCTTCTATAATTTTTTAAAGTGTTAGGCTTTTTTTTGCTTAGTTACTTATTTACGTTTAGGTGATGAGAGATTGGTGAAAATGAAAGTCCTCTGTAGTTGTAGAAAGAGCTGTGTAGGAAATCATAAATTCAGTCATTCTCTGAAATATCTCAAGCTGCTCATTATCCTTTTGCTATGAAAGACAACATAATAGTTTAGATGTGTCATAAGGAAAAAATATCTTCCGTAATTTAGATACATAGAGCGTGTTGGGATCTGATTCCAAGGCAAAACTAATTTAATTCTAAGACAAAACTTAACCCAGCTGAATGGTTTTCAGATATGCTATATTCTTTTGCAAATAATGACCCATGTAAATCAATGAGCCTGCCCATATAACATGTGACATAGTGTGCTTATGAAAATAGCATGGGATGGGGGGTTGTGCGGTTAGCAAAAAAGTATAACATGCATGTTATTTGTGTAAAAAATAGGTAATAACAAATAAGTGGAGGCTGTCTTACTCTTGCAGTCTTTGGGTGGTGCAGATAGTTAACTCGCTCAGTTGCCAACGAAAAGGTTGGAGGTTTGAGTCCACCCAGAGGCGCCTTGGAAGAAAGACCTGGCAATTTATTTCTGAAAAATCAGCCATTGAAAACCCTCTGGAGCACAGTCTTCCACAAATGGGGTCGTCATGAGGAAAAATACTGATAAATGCTATAGCGTGGATGTACCTTGAATACATTATGCTATGTGAAAGAAGCCTGACACAAAAACGTATTGTATGATTTCATTTGTACGAAATGTCCACGATAGGCAGATATATAGAGACAGAAATTATTAGTGGTAGCCAGGGGATGGGGGCAGTGGGGACTTGGGAGCGCCTGTTGACAGGTATGGGGTTTCTTTTCGGAGTGATGGAAATGTTCTGGAATCAGATTGTGGTGATGGTTGCACAGCATTGTGGATAGGCTAGAAAACAAAAGTCAATTGTGTACTTAAAATGGTAAATCTTATGTCATATCGATTTCATCTCCAGGAAAATTACAAAAAACAAGAATGACTTGAAGTGGTAGAAGATTTTTTTGGTGGGTAGTGATTCTTGAAGTTGGTACTTATTAAGCGGTTAAGGTAGATTTTGATCCAGTCTTTTTCTCCTTTGTTAAATAATCAAGATTTTCTAAAAGAGGAGCAAGTCGAACATTAGGGCAAAAGGAGGAGAGGAGGAGGGGAAAGTAACATATTGCTTTGCTTTTCAGAGAGCCCTGTGTTCATTAAGTATCTTTGCCTTGTAGCATCCTGGTGGAGAGGAGGTTCTGCTGGAACAAGCTGGTGTAGATGCAAGTGAAAGTTTTGAAGATGTAGGCCACTCCTTTGATGCCAGAGAAATGCTGAAGCAGTACTATATTGGTGATGTCCATCCGGTAAGGACCAACTGAGCTAGGAGGACTTATGGAGAGGACATTACTGAATAGCCACAGAACAGGATGGGGGAGTGAATTATTATAATGAAAACTCATTCAGTCGAGCCCTCAGGCTAAATTTTTTCCGAAGTTTTCCTGTCTTACTATGCTAAGATATAGCTTCTAATTTGCAAAGCAGCACATGTAGTATCTCTGAAAAGTTAAGGAAATTGATTTTGGATTATTATGATCAATTTATTTCTTCTTGTAATTCAGTTAATAACATCTCTACCTAAAATAGTGTGTTGGTTGTTTTGTAAGTTTTTTGTTAACAAGAAAACTATCCCTTGGAGCAATGACTTTTTAAAACATATACGCACACTATTCTAACAACGGACCCTGATATGCTCAGAGTGGGAGTCAGCACCTTTCCACATACTCTAAAGTCTCCCAGAGAATTCACTACCGGAAAGTAGTCCCACATTCCAAGATTAGAAACATGCATGTAGTGAGGGTTCATTTGGATATGTCTTAAAATATTATTTGTTTTTGTCTTTAACAGAATGACCTTGAAACTGAAAATAGTAGCAAGGTAAGAAGTCATCAGTTTCTCTTATGTGTTCCAAGTGTTTATATTTCTGTTCACTCACATAAAATTGATTTTTAAAAATTATTTTAACAAGAGAAGCATTTATTTTCTTCCCCAAGCAAAAATCCTATTTTTCAGGAATTTGGACTCGGTACTATCTCAGGAGAAAGAATAGCAGAGTCTTGAACAGTAGGAAACATTTTGTTAATGTTTCTACTTGCTGGAAAAAAAAAAAAAAAAAGAAACCCCAAAACTGTGCAGTGTATGGTTTTGAAACAAATTAGTTTATGGGTTCAGTTGTAGAAAAGTATCTCTTGCAGTACATAGAACAGGTAATAATAATTGCTTCTGTGTTGGAAAAAGACTTGTAAAGTTGATTTTCTCTTAAAAATTATCTTCTTTAATTCTAAAGAAATTGTAAATTGAAATAATTGACTTGTCTAGAACAAGCATTTTTATCCCTATTTCCCAAATTTAATTCTTTTATCCCATAGGCTTACATAGACCCACATCTTTTTCATATACTCAGTAATAGGGCAAAAACAAAAGATTTAGTATTTGAAAACTGTAATATGCATTGCATTATGTACCAGGAAGAAAATTTGAAAGCCTTTCTGCCTCCCATCAGCTGAGTGGTTCATCTCCCTTATTCTCTTATAATTTTCCTTTACTTCAGTTCTTCAGATAGCTATTACTATACCCTGTAATTTAAAGGGACAGAAGCTTTGGTACTACCTAGAATATCATGTAAGCAATGTTCCCTCCCCTTTTGCTTCTAGCTTTTTGCTTTCCTTTTCTGTTAAGCCAGAATTACTGAACAGATTTGATATAACAATTAAAGTTGGCCTAGACACAAGAATTCTTTCAACTCAAGAGGTTACTTGACAGTGTCTGCTATCTATTGCCCTGCAATCCAGAGTGTTTGTGTAAATTAACTCTCATGCTTTCTATACACTCTGCTACCCTGAACTATTGAATGGCTTACAAAAGGGGGATGAAATGCTTCTTTAATTGCTTTGTAAACTCTGTTGGTTTGTGTATCCTTCCCTCCTGACACATGTACCATTCATTCTTGAATCCTCAAGTCTGTTATGAAGGTAAAGTTTGAACTAAGCTTGGCCTTGTTTGGTATACTGAACATGCCCAGAAAACTTCACTCTCGGAGGTGAGCATTTGATTCAAAGGGTATTGCCATTTGTGCAAGAGATGCATCTTGTGTCTAGGAGACATAACCCATTTCTGCAGACAGCCATCAGAGAAGCCTTTATATTAAAACAAGGGAAAAAATATTTTTGTAATTATAATATCTAGAAGTCTACAAATTGTTTTTTGTGGCTTTGTCATCATTGGTTGTACAGTAGGTAGTTAAGACCATTCTTAGGAATGAAGAGCAGTATTTGCTAATTTCTGTTCCTTGTACCACCTATATTAGAATCCCTTGGCCTGTTTTTTGAAATGTATATTTCCTGGGCTTCCACTAATATTGATTCAGGAGCTCCGGAGATGGGGCTTTGGAATTTGCCTTTTAAGTAACCCATGTAATAAGTAAGTGGCCAAGCATTAAACTTTTTAGAATACTAATCAGGTACTGAATGAAATGCCCATCTTTTGATTTGGAAACTTAGGGAATTTTAATTCTCTTTTGTGGAAAGCACCGTCTGCCTTATATAGGCCAAAGAATTAATTAGAGATATATCAGCTGAATTAAAACTGTTGACGCAATGATAAAGAACAGTGGTGAATCCACAAAACATCTCACAACATGGATGAATCTGGAGGGCATTATGCTGAGTGAAATAAATCAATCACAAAAGGACAAATATTGTATGAGACCACTATTATAAAATCCCAAGAAAAGGTTTACACTCAGAAAAAACCATCTTTGATGGTTATGAGGGAGGGGGATGGTGGGGAGGGGATATCACTAACTACACAGTAGACAAGTTAACTTTGGTGAAGGGAAAGACAACGCACAATATAGAGAAAGGCAGCACAACGTGACCAAAGTAAAGTCATAGAAGCTGCCTAGATATAGCCAAACCCCTTGAGGGATCAAGTTATTGGGGCTAAGGGCTGCAGACCATGGTCTCAGGGGACATCTAGGTCAATTGGCATAATATAGGTCATATATCCTACATCCTACTTTGGTGAGTAGCATCTGGGGTCTTAAAAGCTTGTGAGCAGCCATCTAAGATACATCTATTGGTCCCATCACATTTGGAGCAAAGGAGAATGAAGAAAACCAAAGACACAAGGAAAATATTAGTCTGAAGAGCTAATGCAGTACATGAACCACAGCCTTGACCAGCCTGAGCTCAGAAGAACTAGATGATGCCCAGCTACCACCACCAACTGCTTGACAGAGATCACAATAGAGGGTACCAGACAGTGGGAGAAAAATGCAGAACAAAATTCAAATTCACCAAAAAAGACCAGACTTACTGATCTGACAGAGACTTGAGGAACCCCCAAAGACTGTGGCCACCAGACACCCTGCTAACTCAGAAATGAAGCCACTCCTGAAGTCCACCTTTCAGCCAAAGATTAGAAAGGCCTATAAAACAAGCAATAACCCACGTGAGGAACGTGCTTCTTAGTTCAGTCAAGTATATGAGACCAAATGGGCAACACCTGCTCAAAAACAAAGACAAGAAGACAAGACAGGAAATCTAGACAAATGGTAACAGAGAACCCAAGGTGGAAAGGGAAAGGGGGAGAGAGCTGACATACTGCAAGGATTGCAAACAATATCACAAAGCAATTTGTGTGGAGATTTTTGAATGAAAAACTAATTTACACTCTAAACTTTCACCTAAAACACAATCAAATAAACAAAAAAACTGTTGAGCCTTGGACTTTCTATAAGAAATATAGAAAAAGAAACCCTTTCAGCTTACCAAATTCTGTAATAATTTAGAAGTCTCTAAATGTAGTTTAACCCCTACTTAGTTTAAACATTGACTAAAGGCAGCATTTTCATTGTGGCCAACCGACATGTCTCCATTAAGTAAAGAGCCTGGTTATTATGTGTTTCCAATCACACTGCTGTACTTCAGGTAGTTCAGGCAAAGAAAGCCTTTTGGAAACTTTTCAAGACCACCTGCATAGGTTCTCACAAAGCTATATTCCAACCTGATTTCAGTTCCAGGAAGAAATTCTTGATTTATCAGATTTGTTTCTTACAGAAGTTTAAGCACTTCCGTGTCTAGGATGTAGGTATCTCTTCTTCATTTTTCTATCTCTGGTTTAAATATTCACCATCAAGAAATGGAAATCAAGTTCATTCCATTAATTTTCCTTTCTCTTGGTTAAGGGTATCTGTGCCTCTATGAAGAAGTGATTTTTAAGCCTAATTAAGAGGCATCTTTTGCCTTATGGGACACAGTTTTCATTTCCCTCTTCTTCTCCCTTCTACTAATTCAGTTCTCCTCTCCCACCTCCACAAACACATTTCTCTTCCATGCCTGAACTTCCCTCTCCATCTCCCCGCAAAAAAGCACAACATTGCTATTCCATAGTACAGCTCAGGAACCATTTCCTGGTTTTTTAGAAACCACATTTCATGTTGAAGCATTACCTGTATTCATGTAGAACGCAGGTAAATAATCGATGGTCACCTTTGTTTCATTGTTAGGTTGATAATATAGAAGTAAAAAACTTTTTATCTCAGCATATTTCCCAAGGATCACTGTCATGGATTGAATTGTGTCCCCCAAAAATATCTGTCCACTTGGCTGGGTCATGATTCCCAGTATTGTATGATTGTGTACCATTTTGTAATCTGATGTAATTTCCTTATGTGTTGTAAACTCTATCACTATGATGTAATAAGATGGATTAGCGGCAGTTATACTGATGAGGTCTATAAGATTAGATAGTGTCTTAAGCCATCTCTTTTGAGATATAAAAGAGAGAAGTGAGCAGAGACACACGAGAACCTCATGCAACCAAGAAAGCAGCGCCAGGAGCAGAGCGCATCCTTTGTATCTGAGGTTCCTGTGCTGAGATGCTCCCAGACCAAAGGAAGACTGATGCATCACAAGGACCTTCCTCCAGAGCCGACAGAGAGAGAAGGCCTTCTCCTGGAGCTGATGCCCTGAATTTGGACTTGTAGCCTACTGGACTGTGAAAGAATAAACTTCTCTTTGTTAAAACCATCCACTTGTGGTATTTCTGTTAGAGCAGCACTAGATAACTAAGACAATCACCAAACCACCAGACCAGCAATGGAGGACCAGAGCAAACTGCAGCCCCTTAGAGGAAGAATTGCCGTACTGACAGAAAATACAGTCGAAAAGGGTCCTGGTATTGGTAAACTGGAAGATCTGTATCTTAATGCAAAGACCTTTTTTGACCTGGCATGGAGAAGTAGGTTTAATGAAGTAATTCCAGGACTTATATTTTTATGTTATGTAATAGAGGGTCTACGTGAAGCATTGGCAAGTGCAAGAGTAAAGATCAGATTGCTTATATATCTACAGGCGAAAGTGGGGGACAAACTGTCAAAGCAACAGCTTCATCTTACCCCAAAGGCTAGGACCCCTCCAAACTACTGCCCTTGGTTGCTCTGGAAGTAGCATCAATGTATTAATTTGGTTGTGATGTGTTATTTGGAGTGTTGTTGGATCTTCAGCAAAGATTTGTAGCAATGCGGAACAAGTCCGAAAGAGGTACAACACCTTTATGGAGTCAATCGGGAAGAACGAGTACAAGAATACAGCCAATTTACTAGTTGTTTATCCAGCTGGGCCAGTTATGCATTGGATCAATTGACAAATGCGGGTTGAATCACTCGTCTATAGCTTAATTAGCACTGACTTTGGGTCTCCTGAGAAAGAGATGATGGAACAAGTGCACATGGTGGCCAGCTACGTACAAATGACAATGTGCAGTACTGTTTGCAGATACTTAGAGCAGTGCATGGATGGAACCATTGCGCTAAGACTTGTTGTCCATGAAATTCCTGCATTTATAGAAACCTCAAAGTATGTCAAGGCCAGGCT